TAATAAAACTAATGAAACTTTTTTCTCGTGTGTGTGATAGTTAGAAATGCAGTGTTTACTATTGGCAGTGCTTTGATATATGTTAATGTGCCAGCATTTTACCCACTGTATCAATCATTTAAACATTTTTTATATTTTATGATGTTTTGACATCTTTAGGGAGCCTACTAGCTAAGGAGAGATTGCCCTTCCCAGAGTTAGCCAATTCCTAGAGATAGCAAACAAACAACTTGTTGGTGAGCCAACTTTTCATATACAAATCAATCAGTTGCAATTCTATATCCTCAGCCACCTCCTTTATACAACTCACAGACACCAAGCCAATATTTTCCCTGCCCTGAGTCACCAGGACCAGGTATCAGACTACTGGAGATCATCCCTCTAACCCATGACCTGCCAACACTATTCAAACTAACTGACCGTAAGCTGTTTGCCCTGCCCTGCCTTTCCATGGAAGTAAGCCCCAGTAAAGACTGTGGTCTAGACTTGCCCCTTGCTTCTTTCTGCCTCCTGACCAAATTTGGTGCTTCCCCGTGTGGTCCTGCATGGCATGGCAGAGATCCTCTTCTCAGGAAAGGTAATAGGAAATTTTCTTTTAACAACATTAGCAACTCTGTGTCATCACTCAGTCACCTACACCTACTATTGCTGTTGTCATTAGTGTAAATAAGAACACAGTTTAAAATACTATTATTTTTGTTAATCATTAAGTGTTGTTATCACTTTTTTGCCACACTGTGCAGCATGCTGGATCTTAATTCCCCAACCAGGGAAATTGCACTCATTTCCCCTGCATTAGGAGTACAGAATCTTACCCACTGGACCACTGGGGAAGTCCCAGTGGAATGTTATTATTAAAAAAAATAATTTTGACTTTGTAGACCCCCCATATGAATCTTTTGGAAACTGTTGGTTTAGGCCTTTCTTGTTTTTTGTCTCTTTCTTTAACTTTTCTTCTTTTATTATAGTCTTCTATTTATAGGTATTCATAAATCCAAAATATAAAAGGGTAATCATTGCTAATATTTATCTTCCTCTTAGTCTTCATTTTCTTTTCTTCCTTTCCCCTTCTACTTGTTTCTTGCACTCAGTCTCATGTCCCATTCTTACTGTGAGACCTACTATCAGATTTCAAAATCCATATGCCTCGGACTAAGGTGATAATTTCAGTATCACTTCCTTTTAATACATTTCTTCCCAATAAATCTCCATGTTTCATAACATAGTGCTCAGATGCCTGATATGTACCCACCTTGATTGGGGTGAAAAATGTATCCTATGTCCCTGAGTTCCTTTTTCATCTTGCTTACATCTCTTCCCTCTGAAAAAATAAATATTTGTCAAATAAATGGATTTTATTTCAGTAGGCTCTCATCAGTATCCTTAAAGGATCGTTCTTTATCCTCAGTTCTTATCTTTGTAACAGCCACGTAAGCTATAATAATCTGATCCATTCTCAAGTTGTGATATCCTTGTTTTATGTGAATGGCTTTCAAATAGCCTTTTTCAGCGCATTTCTCCCACTTGGACTCTACTGGACTATTTTAATCTGCCTATAGCAATATAGTGATCACTTGTCTCATCCTTTCAGTTATTGATATTTTAGAAATAATATATAGTCATTAACCTTATCTTTGTTTCTATATCCTTTTATTACTGTAGTCAGCTTCTTATAAAACCAGGTTGATTTCATCATCTCTGCTATATTTTAAAAATTAGCTTTCCACAATTTGTGTTTATTTCACTCCATGAAATATTACATCCTATCATATTCTCATTTGCCACTGACATCTTCCAAAGTAAGAACCATGTTATTTCAGGTATGGACTGCTGTAGTTAGTATTTGGATTTGCCATGATTTTTTTCTAGTTCTTTCAGTTTTCTTTCAGTCAATATGCAAAAAAAGATATCCCCTTATTATATGAAATTTAAGTCCCTTCTTTTTCAAGGGCTGACAATAATATCCCATCTGGTCATTCCACATGTATTTCCCTTTTTGACTGAGAACTCCTGCTCATCTCTGTTCTAGTCTCTCAAATGTACAACTGGACCTTTCATTATGTGACAGCTGCTGTATACTTATAGAAATACTTGGAAAGTCAACCAACTGCAAAATAAGAGAGTAAAACAGTACACAAAAAGACACCCTTAATTCTGATACCAACTGTAAATTCAGGACTCTGAAGATTTGGGTCAATAGTTTGCTATAAGGACTTAAAAAACTTACTGAAAGCTGTAATACTCACAGTTATGGTTTGTAAGAGAAGAATACAAATTAAAATTAGCCAAGGGGAGAAGCACATAGGGCAGAGTCCAGGAAAGTACCAAACACAGAGCTTCTAGTTGTCTGTTCTTCGTGGAATCAGGGACAGCGTTACTTCCCTGTGACAGTTCTTATAGAATGTTGCCAGCCAGGGAAGCTTTGCTCAAGCCTAGAATCCAGAGTTGGTTATATTAGGGCTCCATCACATAGGATGCCTGACTGCCCATGTGACTGATCTAAGTTTCCATCCCCATAAGAGGTTGAACTAATATTCTGTGACCCAAACCCCCACTTAAATCACATTGTTGGTGTGACTCAAAGAACTCCCCCAGCCTAAATCACATTGTTACTTTCTAGCTGGCCAAAGGTTCCCAGGCAAATAAATATTCCTCTAAGACATGACATTCCAAGGATTTAGAGATTACCTCCCAGAAGACGAAGGCAAATGTCAAGACTTCTTTTAGAGTAAGAATTATGTTCTTTCCCACACAATACTACATATCCTTGAGTTAAAAGATCAAATTTTACTTCCACATGAAATGTCCCTTGCTGACTCCAGAGCATGTCAGCTCCTGTTTTTCTGCATTCACATTATACTTAGTGTCTGTAACACACAAACAGAACCATCCTCTGATATGATCTAGTAATTTGCTACCTGATTCAACCTTGTTTTATCTGAGGCCTCTTTTCCCATCTGATTAACAGTTCCCTCAAAATAAGGTCCTCTCTTTTACTTTTCCTTACTGTAGTTTGTAAGAGAGGCTAGACATTCAGTAGTTACCTGATTGATGGCCTATGATAGTATGCAAGGAAATTATCTTTTTCATCCATTCAGAAATCATTTAAACAGTAAGTTCTTTTTATATATACATGCCAAGATAATCATATCCCTTCACCACTCTTAAGTGTGTTAATGTATACTCAGAAGATTTCAAAGAAGATAGTTAATCAAATATTGACTTCAAAGAACATAAGTTTTAGTTGGGAAGGCATTATTATCAAATTGAGCATTTTACATATAATATTAAAATAGCAACAAATCTTATTGAAAGATTATTTGAAATGGATGATTCAGACTATAAAATTATGTACTAATTTCAGACAAAATAGACATTGAAGAGTAGAGAGAATATGTGAAGGCTTTTGGATAAATTGGATAGTAGTATATCACTGGAGGAGCTTGAAGTTGTCAGGAAGGCAGTATAATTTCCATTACTGATACAGATTAGTTATGTATGTCCTAGAACTGCACATAAATGAAATATGTACTCTTTTGCATGAAGTTTTAAGTCTAAAAAATGTTTAATATTCATCTCTTTTGTCATTATGTTTCAGTTGGTTTTTTCCTTTTTATTGCTGAATAGTATTCCATTATATACATTTCATTGTAGTATTCTGTTTTATAAATACATGATCCTACCACCCATATCTGGTGGAGCAATTTTAAAGATAGATACGGTATCACTTGTTTACATTTTCATGACTAGTTTGATGGGATAAAAAGGCTATTGTAAATAAGATGCAAGGCATAAGTAGGATGAATCCACATTTAAAACTGCCCCATCAGATATGGGTGGTAGTAAGGTAAAATAGTAAGATATAGCCAAGAAGTTTTAAGAAAAATAATAGGTCAACCAGTGCCATACACGTATATTAAAGAATTCAGTTTTTCACAGCTCCAATAGGGAATAGCAGAGTCCCAGATGGTGCTGGTGGTAAAGAACTTGCCTGCCACTGCAGAAGACATAAGAGACGTGGGTTCGATCTCTGAGTCGGGGAGACCCCCAGGAGAAGGGCACAGCAACCCATTCCAGTATTCTTGTCTGGAGAATTCCACGGACAGAGAAGCCTGGCAGGCTATGCTCTATAGGATCACAAAGAGTCAAACACAGTTGAAGCAACTTCGCACATATGCACTGCATTGGGAGGAAAACTTGAACTCATCCTTCCCTAAAACTAAAAAAGTAATTTAGCAAATTGAAAAGAGGAAACGTTATAATTGATGGTCAAAAGAATTTAGTTATTGATCATCTCTGGAAGAATAAATTGATGGTAGCAGCAATCAGAATACAACAGTGATTATATTCATGTTGCAAATATCCTTTTCCTCTGGTTTATTTTATAATTCCTAAGGGAATTATGTTTTCCCAATTCTTCCTTTTCAAGGAAAAAAATTACAGTTATGTGGAGAACTAGGGTCAAGAGTATAGACGAGTGTGTTTGTTAACACTAGGAAATGAGGGACTGAAAAAGTTCATTTGCCATGGATAGGCTCAATACAAGTGAGGAAGAAACAAATGGAAGTATTTTATAACATTTATTTAGTCATTAGGGAATAAATATATAGTTTTTCATCATCACCTGAACATTTTCACTACTTACTGTTAGTACCCTTGATAGGCTCACTCCATTATCTCTGAATCAGCCTGTTCCAAGAACAATCCTGCTTTCACTATCCTTTGTCTTCTGCTTACTTGCCCTTGTGTTTATCATACCTGTTCAGTGTAGCTTATATTTACAACATCCCAAAGATATGTGTTGTTTGCTTATGACAGTTTTTCCTCATTTTAACAGTGTAGCAGGGTATGTGTTTGTTAGCTCCCAGAGGTAATTTATTTTGACCTTTCTGTAGACTAAAGAAGTGTGATAGACAGGCCCACCATGGATTGTTTGTATTGTTTATCTTATCCATAATGTTTACATGGAGGCTTACTATTGTTAATTGTATTTTTTCTAGAAGAAGATTGGAAAGCTGAAGATGTTTTAGTGAAATTCAAAGAATACCAAGACAGGCATTCTAGGTCAGTTATATCCATCAACCACAAAAGACTAATAAAAGAGAGAAGTAACATTTGGGGGAAAACATTTACTATCGACAAGAACCGTATTATTTCAAAAACAACACTATGTGAATATAAACCTGATGGAAAAGTTTTTAAAAATATTTCAGAATTAGTCATTAGAAATATAAGTCCTATAAGAGAGAAGTTTGGTGAGAGTAATGGATGGGAGAAATCACTCCTTAACACTAAACATGAGAAAATTCATGCAGCAGTGAATCTCTGTAAACAAACAGAAAGGAGTCTGAGTGGTAAACAAGAGCTTATTCAACATCAGAAGGTTCAAACTCCAGAGCAATCATTTGAACATAATGAATGTGAAAAACCCTTCCTTATGAAAGGAATGTTATTTACACATACCAGAGCTCACAGAGGAGAAAAATCCTGTGAATACAATAAAGATGGCACAGCCTTCATTGAAAAGTCAAATCTCAATGTCCACCAACAAAATATGGAGAAGAAACCCCACTCATACAGCAAATATGGGAAATTCTTCTGTAGGAAGTCCATTTTTATCATGCATCAGAGATCTCAAACAGAAGAGAAACCCTTTCATTGTCCTTACTGTGGGAATAACTTTAGAAGGAAGTCGTACCTCATTGAACATCAACGAATTCACACAGGTGAGAAACCTTATGTTTGCAGTCAATGTGGAAAAGCCTTCCGCCAAAAGACAGCCCTCACTCTTCATGAGAAAACACACTTAGAGGGTAAACCCTACATTTGTATGGATTGTGGGAAGTCCTTCCGCCAAAAGGCAACCCTTACTAGACATCACAAAACACATACTGGAGAGAAGGCCTATGAATGTACTCAGTGTGGAAGTGCTTTTAGAAAAAAGTCATACCTCATTGATCATCAGAGAACACACACAGGGGAGAAACCATATCAATGTAATGAATGTGGGAAGGCATTTATCCAGAAGACAACCCTCACTGTACATCAGAGGACTCACACAGGAGAGAAACCCTATATTTGCAATGAATGTGGGAAGTCCTTCTGCCAAAAGACAACTCTCACTCTCCATCAAAGAATTCACACAGGGGAGAAACCCTATATTTGTAATGAATGTGGGAAGTCCTTCCGCCAGAAGGCAATCCTCACGGTTCATCAGAGAATACATACAGGAGAGAAATCCAATGGATGTCCTCAGTGTGGGAAAGCTTTTAGTAGGAAATCTAACCTCATTCGCCATCAGAAAACTCACACAGGAGAGAAACCATATGAATGTAAAGACTGTGGGAAGTTCTTCAGTTGTAAGTCAAACCTCATTGTCCATCAGAAAACTCACAAGATAGAAACTGTGCGAATTCACTAAAACGTGACTTTTCTGGTGAAAAATTTTTAAGACATAGTAAACCCTGTACATGAGGTTGCTTGCAAGTGTAATAATATTAAACAGTTTAAGGTACTGTAGCATATTTACCTACTATTTGCTAGTCCACGAAACACATAAAAAGAATTATGAGATGAATTAAGTGATAAAAGTCACTGAAAATACAAGCTTAAATTTTTTATTACCTTCACCAGACATAAATTCTTCTGTCAAGTTGCTAAAAACATTTTAAATTGCTTATTTAAAATTTCAACATATAACTGTTTGTGACCCAGTATTAAGCAGTAGGCTACCTGACCGTGGTCCGTGGACCACACTGTGAACAGAATTGCTTTAAAAGAAGGAGGTGTGACTGTATTTCTCACTGCAAATATGGAATAAAAGTTATCCCTTCAGAGTTAACCACAGTTCTAACTCTTAACATTATAAATTAGTTTTTGCATATTATAAACCTTTATATAAAGTATACATCATGTATTCTTTCATATATGACTTGTTTCATCCATCACTATGTCTTTAAAACTCATCATTAGTGCATGTTGGAGAAATTTATTTATTTTCATCCTGTATAAAATTTCATTATATAATTACATTTCAGTATATCCAATCTAATGTTGATGGACTTTTTTTTAATGTTTACAGCTTAGGGTCATAATAAATAATGCTTCTTCAAATATATTTATATTTAGGTGTACATATATTCATTTCTCTTGTGTATATACTTACACACATATACTTAGGGATGAAATTGCTGGGCCCTGGGTTATGTGTACACTGGTACTACCAAACAATGCATAACTTTGATGTTAGGAGATAATTCACTCTGAAGGAAGACAGCTGTATATATTATAAATATGGTGATGGTTCAAATGTGAGAATTCATACTAGAGGGAAACTATGAATGTTGTGAAAACTGGGAATTCAAATAGAATGGATATTAAGATTTTTAGCAACAGCTCAAATCATAAATACTAGATACAGATTATAAATCTTGAGACTGCCTTCAGCCATAAGTATGTCTATTTGAAATCAAAGTCATGCTGTAGGAAGAGAGGGACCTAGTGTCTTCCTTGCTCAACATGAGAGAATTCTAACTGGATGAAACATTATCTTACTGGGTCACATGAAAATGATGAATATGGAAAAGCTTAGAGCCACAGCTCAAATCCTTACATCAACAGGGAATTCACAATGGATGTGAATACTTCAAATGAAATGATTGTAAGAATAATTAGTCATAATTCACATCTATACAGTAGCAAAGAATTCATATTAAAGAAAGAAAGATTGACAAGGCAACAGATGAGGCTTTCAACTCTTAACTCTGGGGAAAGCTGTTTCCATGAAAGAAGTCCAGCTATACCAAGATCATGATGCTAGAGAGTCAATTGTTGTCAATAGCCCTAGCTAAGCACCGTCATTATCCAGTATTATCTGCCAAATATGATTGAGCAATCTGGGGCAAGTCAGTTCTTTGAATGACTAGGCACTGCTGCCAGCTAACTGGAACCACATAAGAGACCCTCTGCCCTCAAGCAGGAACAGCTCAGCTGAGGCCTTCTCAAATTTCTGACCCTTAAGAATAAATGGTTACATTTTTAAATTTGATGGATTAAAGTAAGCGGAAAATAATCTCTTAGTATCTGTATTGTAAAAGTAAAGGTATGAATATTTGTATTCCAGAGTCAAAGAGCAAAAGTGTAGTGACTACTAGGTGATCTTGATGTGAGCAAAAACTGGCCCTGAAATACAGCTGAAGTTTGGGCTGTATTTTTTGTTTACAACTACATACCTAAATAACAACTCAGTGAGGAGTTCATAGACATATTTTTTATTTTTCTCCTTCTGTGGTAGTAAGTTACACTTATCAACTTGATTATTCAAATGCATACTTCCCAATTTTGCAAAAAAAATTGAAATAGCCCCAAAATACCAGCTGTGGACAATGCAGAAGGAAGTTAAGTCTATCTTTGAAAGATCCTCTGCAGAGTCATTTCATGAACTAAGGTCCAGACAGAAATCAAAATATAGAATCCAATGTACATTAAGTACAGCCATGTCCTTGTAGGTGGTAACCTGGAATGCCTTGAAGAAAGTCTAAATGAAGTTTTGCTTTCAAACAACTATTCACATATAAGCTACTTCTCAGGAAATTAGGTCCAATAGTTTTTATTTTGGTGTGAACCAGAATTGGGCTATCTTTCAGTCTCCTGTGTGAAGATTTCTTTTGAAGAAGTTGAAAATGTTCTTTTTCATTGATTTTTATGGGTCCTTATTTTATGAATTGATTAATATATGAAATGAGGACTTTTCTTTTTTTTAAAAAATGAGGACTTTTCATCTAACTTTGGGCAGTGAAGTTTGTGTAGCTCTGAGGGGTAGACATGGTTCTGGAATTCTAGTCCACTTATTCCTAAATATATATGACAGGATAGGAATTAATTTGCAAATTCATTCTTTGTAGACCTAACTGTAAAGTCCTAGGACACAAGAGAATTAACATGTACAAAGATTTCATCAGTTCAAAAGGACTAACAAAACTCCACAGAGTATATACATTTAATGTTGTTGAGTCACTAAATTGTGACCAACTCTTGTGACCCCATGGACTGTAGCCCACCAGGATCCTCTGTCCATGGGATTTCCCAGGCAAGAATACTGGAATGGGTTGCCATTTCCTTTTCCAGGGGATCTTCTGACCCAGGAATCAAATCCACATCTCCTGCCATGGCAAGCAGATTCTTTACCACTGAGCCACCAGGGAAGCTCATATACTTAATGCTTTCATTTAAAAGCAAAAGATGTAGCTTACCAAGAGAAAAGGTAGGGGGAGTCTGAGAATCATTCAGGTGCAAGTTCCACAGTGTCCTTATTCACATAAAGACTGCACTCTACCTCCAGATAGAACCACTAAGATCTATGTGAATCTTGGAAGAGCTCAAGGCAGAAGTTCCCCAAAAGGACTTTTATGCCCCTTTGTTCACTGGTCACATAGTCAAAGTGGGCTCTCTAATCATTTATATGGTAAACAAATTGACTCCGGGGGTCTTCAGGGAAAATTTCAACTTCAAACAGCATCTTATGTATCCCTCTGCCCTATGTCAATCAAACTCAATGCCAGACATTCAGGCATCATGGAGATAATAGAGCTTTTCCAGTCCAGTTCAGTTCAGTTCAGTCACTCAGTCGTGTCTGACTCTTTGTGACCCCATGGACTGCAGCACGCAAGGCTTCCCTGTCCATCACCAACTCCCGGAGCTTACTCAAATTCATGTCCATTGAGTCAGTGATGGCAATTATAAATCAAATTTCCAGTCCAACTATAAATCAAATCCATCCTACAAACATGGTTCCTACATCTCCTATGTATTGTCTGATAATCTGCGTAAACAAGCATGTTGCCTCACTTCTTATGTCCCCAGTATCTGCATAGTGCATCTCAAACCTGAAACATTCTTGCCAGGTAGTGCTTGAATATCTCCACTTAATTTGTGGTCCAGCAATAGAATCAGACTTATCATCCCCTGCTTTATAAGTAATATGCAACAGTTAAAACATAGATATAAACACTGGTCTCTAATATTCATCTGGGATGTTGTACCATTTGAGATATTCATCAGTTTATAATCTGGGACTTTTCAAAATCATAGATGTGTGACAATATCAAGCACTGATGAGGGTGTGGAACAACTAGAACTCTGATACACTGCTAATGGGAATGCAAAGTAGTAAAACCACTCTGGAAAACAATTTGGTGGGTTCTTTAAAAAGTTAAACATGTACTTTCCATGTGACCCAGTGATCCCACTTACATTTAGCATAGAGAAATAAAACCACATGTTCACACAAAAGCCTATTCATGCATGTCTATAGTATTATTATTTATAATCACTAAAAACTGGAACAACCCAAATGTTCCTCGTGGATAAATGGACACACCATGGTATATCCACTCAATAAAATAACTACTCAACAACAACAACAAAAAAAATGGACTACTGACACATGCAACATTATGGATGAAACCAGCCTCAAAAAGTTACATACTGTATGGTTCCATTTATACATTGTGGAAAATGTAAAAATATAAACATCCAGAATATATCAGTGGTTGCCACGGATTAGGGGTGTCTGAGTAGAAAGGGGATGTGTGAGGGAATTCCTTGAGGTGTTGTAATTGTTTTGCATACTGTTTGTGGTAATAAATATAAAAATACATGTGAAAAATCAGAAGTGTGTACATATCAAAAATAGAGAATTGTAGTAGCAACATCTGTAAGATTGTGGAATAGCATTTGTCTCATAGAAATTTGAACAATTTGAACAACCATCCCCATGAAATTACAACACTTGGGTGGAGCACAGAAATGAAAGATAGATTGAAGAGGATAAGGACAATTTCACACTACCTGGGTTACTTATTCTTCAAGCCTGTGCAGTGAAGCATGAAGCAATGTACCCTCTGCATGGAGGGAAGGAAAGTGAAGTGAGAACCCATCCTTGTCACAGACCCCAGCACCAGCCTTCCCCAGTGAATCCCCAGGTAAACCAATATGATTCAGAATCCAGGCCTGCCCCTGTGAACCCATCACAGGCTCCAGGCTGCCCAACCCAGCACCATACTGGCCCTACAGACCCAGATACCAGTCTGGCACCCATGGACCTAAGCTCCAGGCCTGCCCCAATAAATAGATCCGTCAATGTTTATAAAACTCCCTAATGTATTAAAAAGTAGGCTAAATGTGGACTGATGAGAATATCATGAATCATGGATTATGATTAATCCAGTTTTGTCCAAAGAATTTTTAAAATTTAATTCCTGGAAGAATAGAAGTGACAGCTATAGTTACAAAAGCAGATGACTCTAGGACTCATTAGGAGAGATTTTAATTTTCACATTATTTTGGGTAATTAAAAAATAATTTTGTTTATTTTTGTCTATACTTGGCCTTTGTTTCTGTGTGGGCTTTTCCCTAGTTAGAGTGAGCAGGGGCTACTCTCCAGGTTTGATGTGTAGGCTTCACATGGTGGTGGCTTCTCTTGTTGCAGAGCACGGGCTCTAGGGAAAGGGGGCTTCAGCAGCTGTGCCTCCTGGGCTCTAGGGCACAGGCTCAAGAGTTATGACACATGGGCTTAGTTGCTCCATGGCATGTGGGATCTTCCCAATCAGGGGTCGAATCTGTGTCTCCTACATTGGCAGGCAGATTCTTAACCATGAGCCACCAGGGATGCCTTGAATATTTTTAAAAATATATTTGTTATTGGTTGCCCTGGGTTTTCCTTGTTGCAAGTGGGCTTTCTCTAGTTGAAGTGAGTAGTGGCTTCTCTTGTTGTAGCAGGCTCTAGGCTTACAGGCTTCAGTAGTTTCAGCACATGGACTCAGTAGTTGCAGATCTCAGGCTCTAGAGCACAGGCTCAGTAATTGTGGCAGATGGCTTTGTTGCTCTGCAGCATGTGGGATCTTCCCAGATTAGGAATCAAACCCATGTGTCCTACATTGGCAGGCAGATTCTTTACCACTGAGCCACCAGGGAAGCCCTATTTTGGGTAATTTTTGAATTTTATAGTATTGCTTTTATTTCCTAATATTTTCAACTATAAAATTAATATATCAAAACATATACACACTCTCATGATTGGGAATTTACCAATAGAAATATGACAATGTAAGAATGTTTATTACACCATCATTTCTGGTGAAAAAGTAGAAACAATTAAATGTCTACAGTAGGAGATGTTTCAAAATACTGGCCTACATCCCATACTAGAAATATTCTGAAACTTTAAAAGAATGAGTCAGATCTGTATGTATTGACCTGGGAAAATGTCCACAATTATTTACATGAAAAAAGCAAATGTCATGATATATGTCACTATAGAGGGTAAAAACTTTCACACACATGGCAAAACATACATGCAATGTGCAGATATGTTTGATCATGAAGAAAGAAGCAACACATACATACAGGTTTTTTCAGGGATTTGTAGGAGAGGAAGAAATTGTTTTCATTTTATTTCCTTCCCACTTCACTGGTTTCAGTGAAAACACAGTTTTATAAAATTTACTTCCAATACTGATAATTACAATAATTCATAATCATCATTGAAACCAGAGTGTTGTTTTTTTCCTTTTAATAACTTCATTTTCCCACTTAAAAAAAAAAGAGTAGAAAGATTATTAAACTAAATCAATACTAATGAAACCCAGTATTTTACCAACATTTTCTTTGAAGAAAAAAAGGAAATGTATGTTTCCAAAAAGAATTTTCTGATGCTAGACTAGGATGTGGGGAGAAGAAAACGTACTGGTGTTTCAACAGTATGAAGTGTCTGACGTAGGTTAAATTGTAAGCCACGATTAATGGCCTTCCCACATTCATATGATTTCTTCCCAGAATGAATTCTTTGATGGTGTGAGAAGCTTGAATGATAGCTAAAGGCCTTTCCACATTCCTTACATTCAAAGGGCTTCTCACCAGTATGAATTCTCTGATGTTGAATAAGGTGTGAATGAAGTCTAAAGGCTTTACCACATATCACACATTCATGAGGTTTCTCACCAGTGTGAATTCTCTGATGTCTTCTGAGGTGTGAGCACTGTCTAAAAGTCTTGCCACATTCCTTACACTCATAGGGTTTCTCACTAGTATGAATCCTCTGATGTAGAGTAAGTTGTAAGCTGTCACAAAAGGCCTTCCCACATTCACTACATTCATAAGGTTTTTTGCCAGAATGAATTTTCTGATGGTGAGAGAAGCTTGAATGATAGCTAAAGGCCTTTCCACATTCTTTACATTCATAGGGTTTCTCACCGGTATGAATTCTCTGATGTATTGTAAGGTGTGATCGATGCCTGAAAGTCTTCCCACATTCTTTACATTCATAGGGTTTTTCACCAGTATGCAGTCTCAGATGTTCAGTAAGTTGAAAGCCACGAATAAAAGCCTTCCCACATTGCTTACATTCATAGGGTTTTTCACCAGTGTGAAGTCTTTGATGTTGAGTAAGCTGTGATCGTTGCCTAAATGCCTTCCCACATTCCTTACATTCATAGGGTTTCTCACCAGTGTGAATTCTCTGGTGTAGAATAAGTTCTGAACCATAATTAAAGGCCTTCCCACATTCTTTACACTCATAAGGTTTCTTGTGAGTATGAAGTCTCTGATGTATGGTAATGGGTGATCGATGCCTGAAAGTCTTTTCACACTCTTTACATTCAAAGAGTTTCTTACCAGTACAGAGTGGCAGATGTTCAGTAAGTTGAAAGCCACAGATAAAAGCCTTGCCACATTGTTTGCATTCATAGGGTTTCTCACCAGTGTGAAGTCCCTGATGTTGAATAAGTTGTGACAGCTGCATAAAGGACTTCCCACATTCCTTACGTCCATCAGGTTTCTCACCAGTGTGAATTCTCTGATGTAGAATAAGTTCTGAGCCATAATTAAAGGCCTTCCCACATTCTTTACATTTTTCACCATTATGAATTCTCAAATGTTGTTTAAGTTGTGAATAACGAATAAGGGCCTTCCAACATTCCTTACATTCATTGCACTTGTTACTATTTTGAATTCTCTGTTTAGTAAGGTATGATGTATCAACAGTTTCTGCACATTCCTTACAGTCAGAAAGTTTTTCTTTAGAATGAGCTTTGTGATGACTAAAGAATAAATGGTAACTGAAGTTTTTCCTGCATTCTTTACATTCAAAGATTTTCTGTCTATTATAAAATTCCTGAGTGAACAAAATATGTTGGCTAAAAACGGGCATGTGTTCATGGTTGATAACAAATTGCCTGAAATAGCCCTCCTGTTTTCCCTGTTGTCTCTCAAACTGATTTTTGCATGCCTGAATGTCTCTGAAAATGGATTTCTCAGGACTATGGTTTTTAAATGGGTCTGTGATAACCCACTGGGATGATTCTGTCTCATAAATGTTTCTTTTTGGAGATAACTTCTTGGGCTCACATTTGGACACCAAATCTGAAAGATAAAGAAGCACATTTTAATTGCTAGTTTTGTGTTAGAAGAGAAATGAAATATCTCTGATAGAAAAGAGTGAAAGTGAAAGTCGCTCAGTCATGTCCAACTCTTTGCAACCCCATGGACTATACAGTCCATGGAATTCTCCAGGCGTGAATACTGGAGTGGGTAGCCTTTCCTTCCCAACCCAGGAATCGAACCAGGGTCTCCTGCATTGCAGGCAGATTCTTTACCAACTGAGCTATCAGGGAAGCCAGAAAAGAGAGATGATTGGAAATAATTCACATAAGAAATGAAAGGCTTAAGGGGCTCTTAAATACCATAATGTAACAATGAAAAAGGGTAAGGTGAATGGAAAGAAATGAAAGCTCATGAGAGAAACGGGAGATAGTTCTCTAACAGGTCAGTGGTTCTCATATTTTGATCCACTTGAGAATCACCATGGGATTTTGTTGCAATTATGGAGGTTTACAAAACACTCTAGATCACCTAAATCAGAATCTCTAAGAGTCTGTATGTTTTAACACTCTCCATCAGGCCAAAGGATTATGTGATATCTGCTAGTTATTCTCAAATATCTATTATTTCCCTTTTGTACACTGATTGAACCCATGGGTTTTAGTTGAGAACAGGCTGCCCAATATAAGTATTGCCTGTCCCAGCACTCTGCAGCAGAATATGCCGTACAACTGGATTCTGCCTAAAGAAATGCAGTATCATACAGTACTTTCTGAGAACTTTCTTAAGAGTTGGCTGGCCCACCCCCTATATCTGTTATTTTCCTGCTTCCTCAGCAAAGCCAGCTACAATGTGCATTTGATGTCATGTCTGTCACATGATGGTTCTGCAGAGCAGAGTTGGCACTCTACCCTGGACTTTAATCCAAGAGAAAATTAGTCCTCTATACAGTTTAAGCTACATTTATTTTGGGGTCTCTGTCACATACAGCCAGACCTATATTCAAACTAATAGAGCCTCTCATTAAAGTGAAATTTTAAAACTCCAACTCTTTATCATGAGTCTTACATAAGGCCTCTGATTAGCTTTAAAATCACATTTTGAGTCTATTTCTGCTTTATTCATTGTGTCATAACACCATTAGTCTCTTGTAACAACTAGGATATTACAAATTCTTTATCTTAGAGCTTTTCAGAGGTTGTTTCAGAAAAGAAAGTTTGAAGCCAACAGATACATAAAGCATTCAATTCTAACAATTTATTTTTCCATTTTCATAATGATGATCATTTTCATTGTTTCCAGTTTCTGGCTATTATGATATGATATGAACATTCATGCACATTTCTTTTGGTGGAAATAGGACTCCTTTCTGTTAGGTGTGAAATTACTGCATCAGAGGATATGCACTTGCTCAGGTCCATCTGACATTATGCAACAGTTTTCTAATTTATAATTTATAATTCCATCAAACTCTGAAAGAGTTCCTGTTCCTCATA